ATTGTTACATACATAGAATGTTACATGTGAAACTCATGGTAATCGGAAATCAACAACTTATACTAAATATACAAGAGAAAATGAGAAAAGAATCTAAGCACTTAAAAAAGTCATGAAACCACAAGAAAAAAGAAAAAGAATAGAGAGAAACTATAAATGCAGTCAGAAAACAAGTAACAGCATATGACAGGTACATACTTATCAATAATTACTTTAAATGTAAATGAACTAAATTTTCCAATCAAAAGATTCAGAGTGGCTAAATGAGTAAAAAAGGAAAGAAGACCCATCTATATGCTGCCTATATGAGTTTCACTTCAGAAGTAAGGACACACAGACTAAAATTGAATAGAAAAAGATATTCCATGGAAATGAAAACGAAAATAAAGCTAGTGTAGCTATGTTCATATCAGAAAAAAAAAAACTTTAAACCAAGGACTAATAAAAGACAAAGAAGGTTATTACATAATTATAAAGCAGTCAATCCATCAAGAAGATACAACATTTATAAGTATATATGCATACAACATAGAAACACCAAAACATATAAAGCAAATATTAATGAATATAAAGGGAAATACTGACAGCAATACAATAATAGTAGAGAACTTTAACACCCCAATTACATCAATTGATAGATAAAAAGACAGAAAATCAATCAAGAAAGATGAGCCTTAAATGACAGATTTATCCACTTGAACTTAATACAGTTACAGAACATTGATTGAAAAGCAGCAGAAGACACTTTCTTCTCCAGTGACATGGACCATTCTCCAGGATGGATCATGTTTGTGTACAAAAAGTCTCAACAAATTCAAGAAGATTGAAACTGTACAGCATCTTTTCCAAAAAATGTGTAGAGACAAATGAAAACAGATATACAATACACCAATATCTTGGGATATAACAAAAGCAGTTCTAAGAAGGTAGTTTATAGCAATGCAGGCCCACCTTAGGAAACAAGAGAAATGTCAAATAAGCAATCTAACTTTACACATACAAGAATTTTAAAAAGAAGACAAATGAAACCCAAAGTTGGTAGAAGAAAGGAAATATTAAAGATCAGGGTAGAAATAAATGAAATAAAGTCTAAAAAGACAATAAAACTAAGACCAGGTTCTTTGAAAAGAAAAAATTAACAAAACTTTAGCTAAACTAGCCTAGAAAAAGAGAGACGGCTTAAAATAAGTAAAATCAGAAAGGAAAAAGAAGTTACAACTGATAACAAAGAAATATAAATGATCATAAGAAACTAGTATAAAAATTATATGCCAGCAAATTGAAAAGCCTAGAGGCAATGGACAAAATCCTAGAAAATAAACAATCTTCCAAGGCTCAATGAAAAACAGAAAATCTAAACTGACCGGTTACTAGTAAGGAGATTATATCAGTAATCAAAAACCTCTCCAAAAGACAAAAGTCCAGGACCAGACAGACAGCTTTACTAGTAAACTATACCAAATATTCATAGGAGATTTAATACTAATACTTTTCAAAGTCTTCCAAAAATTTTAAGAGGAGGGAGCACTTCCAAATTCATTTTACAAGACCAACATTTCCTGATACCAAAACTAGACAAGGACTCCACAAGAAAATTACAGGCCAATATTCTTGATGAACATAGATGCAAAAGTCCTCAATAAAATATTATCAAACCAAATTCAATAATACATTAAAAGGATCGCATGCCATGATCAAGTGGGGCTTATTCCCAGGGCCCTAGGATGGTTCAACACCCATAAATCAAACAAATTGTTACACCACATTTATCATTAACAAAATGAATAATAAAAAAATCATATGATCACCTCAATAAATCCAAAAATTTTTTGACAAAATTCAACATCCATTTGATAGAAACTCTCAAAAAAATGAGTATAGAGAGAACCTACCTCAACATAATAAATACCATAAATGACAAGTCCACAACTAACCTCAGATTCAGCAGTGAAAAGCTGCAAGTTTTCCTCTAAGTTTAGGAACAAAACAGAATGCCCATTCTTGCCATGTTTATTCAACACAGTACTGGAGGTCCTAACCACACCACAGGATTTAGGTAAGAAAATAAATAAATAAAACGCAGCCATGTTGGAAAGAATTAAAACTGTCACTATTTGCAGACATGATACCATATAGAAAAGCCTTAAAACTACACTAAAAAAAAAAATAATAATACTGTTAGAACTAATAAATGACCTCAGTAGTGCTGCAAGACACAAAATCCATATGCAGAAACTTGTGGTATTTCTTTTTTTTTAAGATTTTATTTATTTATTTTTAGAGAGGGGGAAGGATGGGAGAAAGACAGGGAAAGAAACATCAGTTTGTGGTTGCCTCTCACAGGCCCCCAACCAGGGACCTGGCCTGCAACCCAGGCATGTGGCCTGACTGGGAATCGAAATGGCAACCTTTTGGTTCACAGGCCAGCACTCAACACACTGAGCCACACTAGCCAGGACTAATATGTCTTTACACTAATAAAAAACAATGAGGAGAAATCAAGAAAATAATCCCATTACTGTTGAATCAAAAGAATAAAATATCTAGGAAGGAATTTAACCAACGAGGTAACAGACAATGAGAACTATAAAACTAAAGAAGACACAAATAAATGAAAAGGTTCCATGCTCATATATTGGAAGAATTAATATTATTAAAATGCCCATACGATTTCATGCACTGCTGGCAGGAATGTTAAGTTAGTACAGTCACCGTGAAAAACAGTATGGAGATTCCTGCCCTGGCTGGTGTGGCTCAGTGGACTGAGTGCCAGCCTGTGAACCAAAGGATCGCTGGTTCGATTCTCAGTCAGGGCACATGCCTGGGTTGCATGTCAGGTCCCTGGTGTGGGGTGCACGAAAGGCAACCACACACTGATGCTTCTCTCCTACTCTTTCTCCCTCTCTTCCTCTCTCTAAAAATAAATACAATTAAAAAAAAAGAAAATCAGTATGGAGATTCCTCAAAATATTAATAGAACTATCATATGATCCATCTATTCCACTTCTGGGTATTTATCTGCACAACAAAAACATACTACTTTGAAGAGATATATGCACCCCTATGTTCACTGCAGCACTATTTACAATAGCCAACATATGGAAATAACCTAACTGTCTATTGATAGGTGAATGGATAAAGATGTGAGATGTGACTGTGTGAACTTGATGGGTGAATGGTTAAAGAAAATATGAGAACAAATACAATGGAATATCACTAAGGTATAAAAAAAAGAATGAAATCTTGCCACTTACGACAACATGGATGGATTTTGAGGGTATTATGTAAAGTAAATCAGACGAAGTAAGAAAAATACTGTATTACCTCATTCAAATGTGAAATCTAAAAAGCAGCTAAACAAAACACAAACAAACTCATAGACACAGAAAATAGATTGGTGGTTACCAGAGGGGAAGGGAGTTGCAGGGCCACAGGGAGTAAGATGAAGGGGATTGATTATATGGTGTTAGGTGGTATCTAGACTTTTAGTGGTTACTTCGAGTGTACACAGATGTCAAATTATACAGTTGTATATTTAAAACTTACATAATGCTATAAACCACTTTTACTTCAATTTAAAAAAAGAAAAATAATAATTTAGAAAAGTGAATTTTAAGTAGGATATAAATGAAATGAGATGGGCCATAAGTTGATATTTGTTGTGGTAGGGTACATGAGAATCCATTCTCTCTACTTTTAAATATGCTTGATATTTTCCATAATAAAAGGAATAAAAGTTTTTAGTGTTATTTGAACATCAGCCTGATTATATTCATTTATAGGATACCTTTATCAAAAGAAGTCATCTCTTAGGAATTTATTTCTTAAATATATAATTTAACACTTCAAAACTTAGGAGCCTGTCTTAAAGAACTATTAGACTCAGTATTGGCTCTTTGGTAAACACTCATATCTGATAAGCATTGATAAGCATTACACCAGGAACCCTGGTGCATAAAGCACTGGTAAATTTTGTAGTATAACATTGAATCAAAGATATCAAATATGAAGAAATATTTTTATAACTGAAAAGCTGATAATCAAAAATATCTACATGGATTTCAATATTTATTGGCTATACATTAATAATTTGCTCTTAACAAAATGTGCAAAAATTAATATAACATATTCAATATATGAACCACTTCCTATGAATATTCAATGGTTGCACATAATACCCACAAAAAGATACCAAAAGTAACAATATTTTCCAAAATTTCTCATCCTTGGCATATCATTAGTATCATCCCATCTTAGATTTCTTATCTTAACATCGAATCAAATATCTATTATCATTCTTGGCACATAATCAACCTAACTTAAATGGCCTAATTCATTTACTCTCCACTAATTAGACTAACTCTAGCTTCTAGTTTTGTCTTTCTCTGTTCCTTTAAAAAAAAAAAGTTTCACAAAAGTATTCAGTATTTTAGCTATAACTAAACATTGGTCAGAAAATAACATCAGTGTCATGATCCATGTGCCGCTGTATTTCAGGTTAAACGTGTTCATTTCCCGAGCATTTGGAGATAATTTGTTGATTTTTGCCACCCAATAGACTTCCCATACTTGTAGCAACAAAACGGAGTGATACGACCTCTGCTATTCTCAGTCCACAGGCTTTGGGCAAGCTGACTTTGGACCCATGTTTCAAGAGCAGAACACAGATCTGAACTAAGCCAATATTACATTCTAATCCCAGTGATTGATTCATGGATAAGCAAGATTCAGAGAGAACATGATTCAAGTTAGGACAACTCAGACCAATGAGGCTCAATTCCAAGACTTTTATTCGCATGATAAAGGATACAGATTCTTCTCTATGGGTTTAGTGTTATGGCACTGTGAGTGTGTATCTGTTGAGAACAAAAACAAGAGAGAGAAAAGTGGAACTGAGGGGTAGGCAGCAGCTCAGATCTGATTCCAGCAGCATCAGAATCTAGATCTAACCATGGTTGTTTGAGGTAAGAGGCCAAGAAATTCCTTTTTGCTTAAGCTACCTTGTGTCAGGCTTTGGATTCCGACTCCAGGATGTGTTCTCACTGTCATTCACTGGTAGTGTGGACTTCAGCAAATCATTTAATTCTCTTAACCTTAATTATTTCATAGTACCTGCAAAACAGTTGTAAGCAAGCAACTATGTATATATTCCATCAGTGACATGTGTGCACCACACACTTTGGGAAAACACTGTATTAAACTCATTCAACACCAGACAGGAAGTTTGACATTTTAAACTTAATATGTTTACACTATCATCAAATCTAAAACACAAAACATTTTGAAAACACTGGGAATCTTTCTTATTGCTGCATAATAAGTAACTGGTAACAGGCAGTTCAAGGCAGTTGGTGAATATTTTGTATAAGGCCCTAATAATCCTAGAAGAAAAATCATGTACCTATTCAAAACAAAGATTCAAGTCTTAGCTACGTGGAAAAAAAGTTTCCTGAGTTTTAAAAATCACTAATTAATAAGTCCAGTGTCTTCTCCTTAAAACTCAACATTCTAAATCACAATATTGGCAAGTTCTGTCTAAAAGAGAGATCCAATCAATTTAAATATTAAAACTATGGTTCTTTCCCTTCCATCTTTAATATACTGATAATAGGTTAAAAGCCTTTTGTGAACCTCTAAGCAAATTTCTAATTTCATGTTTATCAAAGTATTTGTAGAAACAAATAAAGCTTCTTCACAATAAATGACCTTAATTGAACTTTGTTTCCATTCTTTATAATATAAACATAACATTATGTGGTTAAATGATAAGATTACTAAATAAAAGCCGTCAACCTCTACTATCAGAAAAGAAAAGCAATGACAGGAGCAGTCTCAATATCCATAATTTATGACCTTCTAGGGCTGTTTTTAGGACTATTACTCAAAAAACCCGAAGTTTAACCTTCTCCTATAAGTCTGCCTAACAGACATAAGACTGTTTGTGTGGTTCCAATGACTTGATATAGGAGTTTCAAACATTCTTCTACTTTGCATCAACTGCTGTTACATTACAGTGATATTCATATGGGTATTAACAGTGGTGACCTGTGGCATTCAACCAAACATACAGACTTTACCCACTCTTTCCCTCACAGATTTTTCTCCTGAGACATAGTTGTCAGATAAAAGCCAGGACAAATTTCTTCATCACATTTTAACTTCAGAAATTTCTTGTTTTCTCTCTTGCTAAATTCTCAGAGCACAAACTTAAGTTCCCAAAAGTAATATCAAAGTCATAGGTGTAGCCAATTTAAGAATAATGCTTAAAATGAAGAGGTTGGTTCCTAAACACAATATTAAGAAAGCATTTTTAAAAACTCAGTTTACATAAGTATCACAGCACAACTAATTTACAAAGTTACAAATTACAACCATGGTGTCATTTTTTAAAAACACTAAGTGAAGCACACATATGGAACTATATCAGTATACTATACTGTATAAGCATCTACCTACAAATTACCAAAGAAGCATCAATAATTTTTTTAAATGTATCTTTTTAAGTGCCCCACATTTAACAGATGTTATCCTATTTTTCTCTGAGCAGCTGTTCATTTGAACATGTTCCTTATTTATTGACATACTGTGTTCAATGCTAAGGTCATATTTCTTAAACAGGAACTTGGCAACTTCCAAATTCTATGGTAAATATTGACATATCTCAGTATGTCAATATTTATTCTGTCAGGACTTTGATGAGTCTCTTCAATAATAGCTGCATCTTATTTTTTAGCAGCTACTTGTTTCTGTTTGAATTGAGTTCTTTCTTTATTCAATAAAATTCCCATTAAATGCTTAGATAAAATTACAAGTTAAAAGCATCCTCTCAGACAAAGAGCAGACAGATTAAGCTCCTTGCTTATTTAATATTTTTGTCACTTCTGCAGGGTGAGTAAGCTCACAGAAACCAGGCACAAAGTCAGGAGTGTCTTCCAAGTAGTATTTGTTTTTTATTAATCTCAAGCCTAATCACTTTCAACTTCACTGGTGGGGTTAAAAGCCACTGAAATCTTTCAGAATTTATAGGTAAATTATTTGTTAGTCGAAAGATACGCAAAATTATAGATTGGTTTACAGATGGCAAGAATGATGATTTTCATAGGACAGCTTGAATTCTGAATGCCTACCATAAAAGGTAGTTGAAATGTTAACAAACTAGTAATCATCAATTCAACCTTAAGAGCAAATTTCCATATCACTGGGAGGAAACTTTGCAATATCTTATAACTACCCTGGGATTTCCCAATGGCACACAAACCAAAGTTTCATGTACAACTACTGGCAGTACTGACCTCTACAAAAGCAAAATGTCTCAGCAGTTTGGAATTTTGGCATGGATTTCTTCTTTTGGGCTACAAAAGTCTTAGCAGTGTTTTTCTCACAAGAGCCCAATTTCATCAACATTTAAAATTTGCTGGCTATAATAACCTGTGCATTGATTTCAGGCAGTGTCTTAGAAAAATGCACAACTCACTTCCCCATCAGCACTGGCAGCTGCACAAATGACAAGGAGCAAATTGCCCAGGGCTATAAATACATTAACTACTTCCTAGTTGCACAAAAAAACCCCATCTTTCTATTATGTTAAACACAGTCCACCTTCTCCCTAGAAAACAAAGTATAGCAAATAGAGCATTGATTTTATACTTAGAACGCCATGCCTGAAATTAAACTTCTACTGTTTGATAGCTGGGTGACTCTTGTCATGCCAGTACATTAAAACGTTCCTTGACTACCTTTGTACCCAGGCTTTGATATCCCAAAAATGAGTAGGACACATTCCCAGCTCTCTAGTGAGATAGAAACATACAAAGAGATAGTATTTTACAAGCTTGTAAAGCACAGAGGCAGGGTGGGAGCTCCGCTGCAAAGTAGCACATAAGCCAGCCTGACATTTCATGAAAGGCTTCCTTGAGTTACATCTTTCAAGATATAAATCTTAAAGGATGAAAATGATTTAGGGGTGGAAAGAAAAAGATAAGGAAAGGCATTCCAGGCAGAAAAGCCTGCATGAGCAAAGGCTTGGAGGCAAGAAATAGCATGATATATGGAAATGATAAATAGTTCAATGTTTTGAACTGATTGTAAATCAAGAATTACATATTCAAATTCCCAAACTCACTTATTCAACCAAAACATACTGTGTACTTCTATGCCTTGGACAGTGTTTTAGAACTTGGCATAAGGGAACAAAACAGATAAAAATTCCTGCCTTTGTGAAGTTCACATTTTAATGGAGTAGACAAACAATTAAAAAAGCACCTAATAAGTATGTAAAATATAGTGATAGGTGTTATAGTAAAAGATAAAATGTAGTAGAGGAAACAGGGAGTGCAGAAAGGCACTTTGGGGGAAGAAGGGAATTAAGTACAAAGCTGCAATTCTAATTAGGAAGTCGAAGTAGGCTTTATTGAAAAGGTGACATTTGAACACATACAAAAAGGAGGTGAAGGAATTAGTTGTGTGGATGTCTATGAAGAAGCATTTCAAGTAGATAAAACAGCCAGTGCAAAGGCCCTAAAGTGGAAATGGGCCTAGTGTGTTTAAGAAATAAGGTAGCCAGTATGGCTGGAACAAAATGAGAGAGGAGAGAACACAAAGGAATGAAGTCAGAGAGATAATGGGAAACCAGATCATACAGAGTCTCATAGGCCAATGTAAGGAAGTGGGCTTTTACGAGGAGTCAAATGAAAAGTCACAAAAGTTTTTTTTTAAAAAAAAAAGCAATGTGACATTATTTTTTAATAAAATTTTTATTTTGGAATAATTTTGAATTTACAGAAAAATTGCAAAGATAATAGAGTTCTCATATACCTTTCACCTGGTTTCCTCTAATATTAACACATTCTATAACCATGGTGTATCTATCAAAACAAAGAAACCAACACTGGTGCACTATTATTATCTTAACTCCAAACTAATCAGACTTTACCAGTTTCTTTTTTTTCCTTTTCACTAATAGCATTTGTCTATTCCAGCCCCAATCTAGGCTAACATGTTGCATTTAGAATCTTATATTTTAATACATTTTTTTACTTACATTTGAAAGTATCCTCTGGCTATTGTATGAGAACAGACTGCAGAGAGGCAAGGACTGAAGAAAGGAGACCAGCTATAACAATATTACTGTAATCCAAGCAAGAAATGATAGTGACTAATAACAGATATCCAAGCAAGAGATGCTCAGTATACTAACAGTAGGAATAGTAGGAAACAGTCAAATTCTAGCTATAGGTTTCAGAGTCAGTAGGATTTGCTAATGGATTTGTCAGAATGTAGGAGAGAGTTGATGATGACTCCAAATATTTAACTTTTAGCAACTGGCTGTACAGAGCTGATGTCAACTGAGATGAGAAAGAATGGAACAGGTTTGGGTGTAAAGGAGTTCAGTTTGTGTCATTTAAGTCTAAATATCTTTAAATAAACAATTGGAGACACAGAGATAGAAAAATAGATATGTGAGTCCAGAGTTGAGAAAGAGAATGGACGAGGAATATGAATTTGGTATGAAAACAAACACCGATGACATTTAAAGTCATCTTGATATCATCAAGAGGAAGTATAGACAGAGGAAAAGAAGAGAACTAAACATTGAACACTGGATCACTTCAATAAGTAATCAGAAAGAACAGAAGGAACACTGAGAAGAAGCAATCAATGTGATAAAAGAAAAACCAAGAGTGTATTATCCTGGAAATCAAATGAAGAAAATGTATCATGGAGAAAATTTTGTCAAAGGCTGCTTACGGGTCAAATATGATAAGGACTGAGAATGATCAACACCTAGAGATCACTAGTGACGCTGACAAAAGCATTTTGGGGGAGTGTGGGAGCAATGGTCATTTTGAAATGGGTTCAAGTGAGGGCAAGCAGTTTGCCACCCCAAAATGTGCCTTATGGGATATTATTTTAAGCTGGGTTTTTTGTTTGTTTGTTTGTTTGTTTTTTGGTTTGTTTTTTTTTAAGAAACAAGATTCAGGAAAAGCCTTTAACCTTTCCTCAACTGCCTAAAAGAGTTTAGAGAGAGGACCTGCTCCAGGAAGAACTAGTATGTAGGAGGAAACTAGTAAGGCTCATTTAACCAAAGTCCTCTTTGTATCCATTATTAAAGACAGCCCAGCAAACACTTATTTGCCATTTGCTTTTCTATCTCCCTGTCTTTGCCTCCCTCCTCTGTGCAGTCCCAAACCTCTACCCCTTACTTCTTCTCTGGGGTTCAAAACGGCATATAAGGCTTAGGTGCCCAGTTTGTCCTCTGCTCTCATATTCTTATGGAACCCCTATAGGTATATATGTAATAAACTCAGTTATTTTCTCTTGTTAATATGTCTTATGTTAATTTGATTATTAGTCCATCCAGAAGAACTTTATAAGTATAGGAGGAAAAATTGTTTTTTCCTCCTCCACACAAGAAAGAAACTGGGATTTGGAACATAAAGAACTCCTTAAAGGAATCTTGTTCAGAAGAGCAAATAAGTCGGGTTAGAAGTGAAGAACAGTTAAGGGACGTGGAGAAAGGTTAAGAGGAACATTTCTTAAGGTAAAAGAAATAACACTAAGGTCAAAAACATTTTTTATGGGTCTTAATCTAACAGCCATGGAAAAAGAAAATTAAAAAGAGGAGCCAAAAAAAAGGACAAAGACAAACACTGGAACACAAGGAACCTCAACCTCAGACCATGGAGGCTACTTTCAGGATCAGAGAAAATAAGCAGCTAAGTAAAACAATTTAATAACTGTGAGTATCTGTGAATTTTTTAAAAATGGGAACTCACATAAAAGAAAACCTACAAACTCAATACTAGATACAAACTAAAAAGCGAAAAGGGGGAGAAAATGGTCTGGTGGTATAAAAGCAATGTCAATTTATTTCAAAAAACCTTTTGTTGAGTGCCTAACATGCAAGTCAATCAGCTCTACATCATTAACTCCCCCTTCAAGGAATTTTTAATTTAGTGAGAGAAAGCCAGTCACACAACAATAGGCAATGGTTACCGTGTGCTCGTTAAATGCCAAATTTTTGGCAGGATGATTTACTTGTATTAACTCATTTAATTCTCATAACGCTGGAGAAACTATGCACTCTCTCTACAGAAAACTATAAATATGCACTATTTTTACATAAAATTCTAGGGAACTCATGAAACCAAAGTTGAAAATACGCCTCTAGATGCAGGAGAGGCAATAAATTTTGAACAAAGGAATGACAGGTTTTATTTTTAGTAACAAAAGGATCGAAGATTATTTAGTGAGAAGTGGGAAACCATAGCAGAGCTGCCAGAAAAGAGACTTTTAAAGTATTTAGCAATATAAGATGGTACTTAAATTAGTTCATTGGCAGTGAAAAACAAAAGCAGAGGGTTTATGTGCTTAAGAACCATGTAGCTCAATTACTAACTCCCCACCTCTTAACACAGATCAGGTTAATTTTGTTTGCTGTTACATGAAAAAATAAACATTATACATGTATATTCAGCTTCTATTGCCATTTGTGTTCCTCAATGGATAACTTTAATAAAACTGGCCAATATGGCTCTTTACTACTGTCTTTTGAAGCTGAAGTACATTAAGTGACCATGGCCTTATGGTCATTTTAGGGGGGCCTAAAATTAATTGTAGTCCATAAATACAGTAAATCAATTGTGACTTTTAACAACTTCAGAGTCCCAGTATTCTTCACAGGAAGCTTGAATCACAGCTTTATACAGTATTACCCTTAAGTGCTCATAAAGATCAAGACGCTCTTCACAGGAAAGTAAAAACAGTCACAATGTCTACAGGCACATTTACTACTTTGGAAGACAAGCCTGATGAGTTGCACAACATAACTTCCATCACTAAGCCAAGTTTGTTTCATTTGAATTGTTTGTTTCTTGATAGGAAGAGAATCCTATCAAGAAACTGTACATTTTTTAATATATTTGTTTCTCCCCTTTTCCATGACCATTAAATTTCTCCAGGGAATAAGCCATCGTTATTCCTCTGCTGCACTCTCATTTTCCCCTAATAAAGCTCAGTAAATACTTGCTAAAATTGTGTATTTGACCAACTCTTGATAATTCAGTAAATTCAAAAGTAAAGTTAGTTACATTTAAAAAAAAAAACAAAACCTGTCTGTGGTGGCAAACAATGTAATGACAGCAGAAATCAAATGTTTTATTCACCATGTTGCCCTAAATACAGGGCTCATAGTTTGGCCAAATACAGCACACAAATCAGCACCTGAGTTTCCTTCCCTTTTTTTCTTTATTCACTTTGTGAATTAATAAAGAATTTAAAAAGTAACATTCTGGGGGTGGGAGGAGAAGCCAACTCTCTGCTGCCTGAGTAAAAAAAAAATAAACTATACAATTGGAGCCAAAGAATTGCTATGATTTTCTGATTCACTTTAGGGGGCGGAGGGATAAACTCTGTATTTCCCAAAACTATGAAAACTGAACACATCAAGGCGCCCGTTTTTCCAGCTACTTGAAAATGCAAAGACAAAAACGGGGAAAATAGAGCCTTGTCTACTGGGATTATTAAAATTAGAGGAAGCCAAATAATAATAGTACTAATTAAAAGAAAAAGTTGGCATGTGCTGTGTCTTACAGGTGGATCACTTCTCTAGAGCACATAATCAACTACTGAATTTAGGAAAGGGCAGTTGATTTCTATTTATTACCATAGAAAGTTCTTTCCTGATCCCAAAGGTCAAACGTTTCAGCCCCAGATGCAACCTATTGACAGTTTTTTTGCTGGGGATTGGTAGAGGAAAAGCCAGTTAGAGAAATGATCAAACAGCCTACTCAACACAATCCTCCAGATTCAAGCGTCCTCATAATCCCAAAACCATACCAGGCATTTCAAAGGCGCTTTGTAAACTAAAAAAATATCCCTCGGATGCCAAGGGAGAAGCTGAAAATGGGGTCCAGCAGGTGCACGCCTTGCGGACCAGGTCAAGGAACCCCGGCGTCCCCTAGGCAACAAACGAAAGGCCCAGTAGCTTACACATGGAAGGGGATCATGCCCGGGAAATAGGAACGCACTGCGGGGTTCTTGATAGAAACAACAGAAAACTAAAAAAAAAAGTTAAAGTTCAAAAAAATGAGGGGAAATAAGGAAAAAAGTACAGGACTACAATTACTATTACTTAAAGAGACAACCCTCCACTTCCGAACAATACCTCTCAGTGACCCCACTTCCGGTCTCCTCCAAATGGCCCGCTCCCACAGGCGCGGTCCTGCAGCCAATGAGAGTGTCACCTACTTCCGCATGGGGTGCGTGACGTCACTGAAATCCCACCTTATTCCAGTAGACAGGAGCCTATCCTAGTGTCTGAGTCGCACAGCTCAAGAGGCGGTGCCCTGACAGGTCCAACTGGGACGCCGGAAGGAGCCAGAGGGGAAGGAGGGGCGTGCACGCCTTTTCCGCCCTGAGCCCGGAAGGGTGATGTGGCTGGGGGTTCGCCGGCCTCACTATGGTAAGAACTGGTGCGGTGGGGTCATGGTTGAGTTTTCTGAAGGGGCTGTGGTCCCAAACTAGGGCTGGAGGGTTGGGCGGAGGCCCCGGGTCCACGGGCCAGCGAACCTTGTCACTAACTTGATTTTCTCCGGGTTCGGAGGGTATACAGGCCCGGGAGCCACGTGGCCCCCGCACGCTCCACGGAGAACCAAGGGCGACCCCCAAGAAAGACCCCGGGGTGGCGCAGCCCGTGCCGTTCCGCAGAGGCCACTTTCTTGACTTGTTAGGGAGAAATGTGCTGGGTTTGGCTTAACCGGTCGGTTACATCGACTCTTAGTAGTCCTTGATCCTTTGAGCTTTTCCAGCTTCTGGAGTTTTCGCTGGTGGTTTTGAGTCTCCTATCCCTACGGGCCTGAACCAGGTTTTTATTTCATAGTTGTCAAATAAACACGATCCTTCACACCTTAATTTTTACCTATTGAATCAGCGGGCTTTAGTCCTCTCCTACTCGATTCTCTCAACCTTAAAGATGTTTTACAAACTACAGGTTTTAATGGTTGGACATCCCTACAGAGATGACAGGTTTTAATGAGTGGAGATCTCTGCAGAGATGGTTTTTCTTCTACGAGTTTAACGTGGTTGGAGTGGTGTCTGGCCTCAGGGCTTCCGCTCCTCCCCACACGTTATTAAGGTTGTATGTGTTGTTTTGTGTTATTGCAGTTATAGTTTGGGTCTCAGAAAAGTTTGAAATACATCTTCATTTCCAGGCTGAAGAAAGGAGGTAATGGCCTCCAGCATGGCCAGAGGACAGATGCAGTATCCGTAGTAATGGTACAGTCTTCCAAGCTCTGTCCGTAAGCGTTTTACTTTTCTAATGGTAAAATGCCAAAAGCCTCTACTCCACGTCCTCATGATGAATCTATGGAGTCCACCTGCCAGATGTTGCAGTTATGAGCATATTTTGGGAGAAAGGATGCCTGCCTGCCTTTTATTATAGTATAGAAAGCAACCACGATGCCCAAAAAGCTATTCTACGTGGTAGTCTACATGACAATTGCCGAGCTTCTGTTCCCAGAAGTTCCTGCCGAATTCTGTATAGCGCAAGACCCTTAGACATTTCATCCAAAACTCATTAACTGTTGCTTGCTACTTTGCTAGCTACTTTGGTTATAGATAGGGTTTAAGTCACAGCCTCCTCCCTGGAGAGGTCTACCACTCAAAGAGGAGGTGGCAGTTTATGGCAGGTTATTCCTTCCTTGAACAAGGATATTCTCTAGCTTCTTTCCCCACCTCCTACGTGATAGGATGCACTTGCTCTGAAGGAGTGTCATTGGTGAGCTGTTCCTTAACTTAGGAAATTCGGTTCCTTCAACTTAAAAATTAGAGAGGCTGCTACCCTTTGCATATCTTCCAAGAAGCTAACATTATTTTACTCTTTGTGTAAGTAGAAGATAGATTATTTTCATCAACTTACTGTCTTATGTCGAGTTAAAAGCGAGATGGATCCTGTATTTAACATCAACAGTATTTAAACTGTCTAGCCATACTTTTTTCAAAAATAACAATAGTAGCTCTCATTTATTAGCATTTGAGCGGCTGTGTTTGAAAATCAGTTTATAAGCATTGTCTTACTTCAAGCCCACTTCTAAGTAGATTAAGGAAGCCAGGGAGAGGGGGACCAATGTGTTTGGGGTTGCATAACCTAGTAGGTAGTGAAGCCAGGATTTGACCTTATTTCAGTGTCCAGGTGCCAGAAATCTTCATGCTGCTGTTAATAGAAACATAATAGAGGCTAAAATGTTTTAGTGATTTGTTCCTGTCAAATATAATGCACCAATCAGACAAGGTTGGGTAATAGAAACAACTGCCAGGTGATTAATTTTTCATTTCTACTGTGTTCCTATGACCTTCAGATGCCATCATTTTAGTTTGCACCTAAACTTGGTATATTTGTGAAGTTACCAAATCATAATGACTTAAATCTGAAATACTGTATTTTAATGAGTTCATTTTTTTAAATGTGTTTCAAGGCCATGAAATGTTTATCAGCAGTAACAGCACAACTATCAAAGCATTAACAGTCTGATAATTATACCACTTAAGAATTAATATTTTTAAGAACTTCAGAATACCTTGTTCTCCCTAACTTTTTAAATCCTCCAAGATTCATCTCAAGTGTTATCTCTTTCCAAGAAGCCTTTCCGGCTCCTTTGTTTTTTTACGTCTTTTAGGTATCCGTTTAGGCATCCATAGTCCTTGTAACTCACTAGCATAGCACTTCCCACAAGAAAAACAGCAATAAGGTATTTGTTGCCTATATTTCTTCCCTTTCTAGGCAGAGATCTTAAAGTAGAGACTAGTTCTTTTAATCGCTACATTACTGTTTCAGTTAGAGTTAGTACTCAAATGAAAGAGAGAGTCGGAATACAAAGTCATATAAGGGAGCTCAGTGTCTTCAAGGACTTCACAGTCCAGTGGGAAAGATTATTAAATAAGTAAAGTTCATGTGTTATCTGCTAATATGTAGAAAGACAATATATGTAGTAGAAAGACCATGGGCTTTAGGCTGGGACATGTAGGGTCAAAAGTGCTTACAGATTACTGAAGGAGTCATTAGCTAGAGCTGGACAGTGTTCTCTATCCTTTAGATACAGATAAAGTAAATGGCAGTTATGGAGCCAAAGGGCATCAAGTCGAATAGTTGCTTGGAGATTCTGGCAGGAATGAAGTTAAGTGGCGAAATGGTGAGAGAGGAGACTAGAAAGATTGGGGGCCAGATCTCAAAAGGGTTTTTGTCATACCAAGGACTTTATGTTTTGATGACTTTTAATTGCTTACCTGGTAAAGACTTTGAGCAGACAGAAGAATGGTGTACATTTTAGAAAACCAACTGGTAACAATATAGAGAGGGCATATTTAAATAGAGGAAAATTAAAATTTGGGAAACCAGTTAAGAAACACATACAGTGATCAGGTAGTGAATGATTGAATGCCTCAACTCTTGACAATAGTGGTTAGGTTAAAAGAAAACATAAAATCTATTTTGAAGGCGCTTAGTGAGGGTTGATGAAGCACAACTCCAGTTTGGATGATTGATTGTATTGGAAGAAAATAATGACTAAACACGTACTCTGCCAGGCACTTTATATGCGGTGTTTTTTTGAAGACTCAAATTATCGGCCACATTGTACTTATTAATACAGTGCAGAAGGGTTAAGTGTCTTGCCCAAGATGACACTGCTTATCAATAGTGAAGCTCAGATTTAAACTTAACAGTTCTTTCACCAGATCTTGTGCTGTTGTTTACAATAATGCTGTTAATTCCAGAATGCAAGAAAAGGTTGTTATGCCTCAGTGGTTTAGGGGTAGGGGGACTTACCTAAAATAACAGCTCTCATGCTACTGTTACTTTTGCATCATTAACACAAAAGGCATCAAAGCAAATATCTTAGTATTATAAAAATAGTTTGACCTCATAAACCCATGACAAGTTTCCATGAACTATACTACTGAAACCATTGCATTAGGCTGATAGGTATTTGATATAGACGCTGGTCCTCTAGCATAGTGGCTTATAACCTCAACTGCAAGTAAAAACTTCCAGGGAGCTTTTAGAAACTGTAGATGCCCAAATAATTTCTGAGCATTGATTGTTTTTAAAAACTCCAAATGATTCTAATGTGAAGCCAGGGTTCTTACCACGTTTGACTCAGTGTATTTGGAAGCTTTTCTATTTTATCAGTGTGTATCTTTTCTGACCATGTGGGCCAGAGTAATTTTTTTTCTAACAGGATTTGCACCTTGTCCTTCAGATATTTTCTCATGTCAAAATAATTTATCAAGGACACATGTGAAGCATTTATTTATTTATTTAAGTGTACCACTTATCATAGTTATATGTACTCTTTCCCTTATTGACACTTTGACAACCTTGTTGCTTTATATGTAGATCTGAATTGTCCACAAAATAACTGTAAAACTAAGCAGCACAAACACAGCAAATGCATTGTAGGTACCATGACAATAGGATGAAAATAAATGTAAATAACCACCAATGTGGCCAATGCAGAACAGAGTTGAGGTGCTTCCACTCTGGAGTGTAGTTTACTCATAGCCATAAAAGTTGTTACAAGTTCAACGTGTAAGTAGAGAAAGTCTCTACATTTTTAAAGCAGGACCAGTGAAATCAAATGGCAATTCAGTCTAACCCCCTCATTTTACAAGTGAAATTAAACTAATGTCTAGAGATGCTGATTTACCCAGGATCAAATTTATACACATATTTCATTAAAGAATCCAGATGTTTACTGGCCACTAATTCTAAGAGAAACTGATGTGTTCTTAACGTTGAAGCATTAAGCAGTTCTGGGTTTCAAATTAAGGTAACTTGTATATTTGCTACAGTATCAGTGCTAGCTTACAGTAACAGCAAAGGTTGAACTATGTGCCAGTAACGCCAAAAGAAAATGTTAAATATTTCTGTGTATTAGTGAAAATCTTTTCAATCACCTGTAGTCACTTCTCTTGGGCAAATGGGGTATTTGTGTGTGTGTTTGCACATTCACATACAGGTTTACACTTATCCCTGTGTTTCCATGTTTTCCATTTTAAGAGATAATAGCGGTACATATGAATTTACAAGTACAAACTGGTTGAAAAATGCTGACCTGACCTAGATTTATAAATGATAAAGTGCTGACCCAGTTTTCCAGTGCTGTGTAATTTTTATCACAACTAGGTCAGGAATGTCATTTCTGGGTTTCCTTCGATCCCCCCCAGAGGGATAAATGACTTTAGTTTTGTGTAAACACAGTAGATATTAAAACAAGTAAAATTGCTACTATTGGGAGTTTTAAAAATTGGAATCTTTGGTATTCAATTCTCATTTAAAGTGAATTTCAGTTAAACTGCAAGAATATGTCAGTGAAAATTTATTTCCTACATAGGAGACAGTCAATATGTAATGCTTCCAGATAGTGTTATGCATAATTTAAAAAATGATAATGTATTTTAATAATCTTAAAAATAGATAAATAAGCTATATGTAACTTAAATGATCCAGGACTAATGAAAATACAATAGGCTTAAAGTGTTACCGTTAGCAACCAGTCATTGAGCACTCTGGGCAAAGCATTGTTTAACATTAATATATATATTTCTGCTGCTTTTCTCATTTTTTCTTTGAACCTTTATACCGCTTGTATTTTTTCCCCTTTTGTCCCTCTATTCCTAAATGTTTTGGATAGTTTCTTTTAATTAGAAGTATTTTTATTTATCCATCTAAAACAAAACCCTATAAAAAGGAAGTGTTTGTAGGTGTGGTAGGCAGAATGCACCCCAACCCCACCCCCCACCCCCAAAAAACTGCAAATGCTATCTTGTTACCTTACTGGGCAACAGGGACTTTGCATGTTTGATTAAGAATTTGGGGATGGGACAAGTATCTTGAATTAGGAGGAGAGGGGGTGATTTAATCACAAATATCCTTGTAAGAGGGAGACAGGAGGGACGTAGCTACAAAAGAAGCACTGTAGAGGTCAGAGGGATGAGAGGAGGGGTTACTAGCCAAGGAATGAAGGCAGCCTCTAGAAGACAGAAAAGGCCAGGAGATAAGAGCCTTCTACACTCTACAGAGGGAACAGGTTATCTTGTCTTCTCTTAACTCGTTAGTTTCAATGTCCATTATTTAATGTTTAATACATGTAACTATTTTTTAAATGAGATAGCATGCCATTGTATAACCCCCTGGCATTGTCACAAGAGTGTTCTGGAAAATTGGGTAAATGTGGGATTGGAGAACTGTTTGAGGTTCTAGAATTTTCTGCCAGCCAGCTTGCCTACTCAGTCATCCAGATCTCTTAAAGATGTACATATCGTACAAATTAGGAGGAGTCAGAATACACGTTGTCCCATGTGCAAGCACCTTAAGGGTAGGTGCTTGATAGGACTGTCTTTGAATTCCAGTTTGTGATACAAAAAGATTACGATATTAAAAGGCACTTACCTCAAGTTTTCCTTTTACCCTGCAGCCTGGGCCCTTAACATAAACATAAGGATATTTGCCTATTCCTTCTGAATTTTCCAAATGTCATTGACAAGAAAGTATAATGCAAAGGAGAGTATGTGGAGGTTTCCCTGGAATAGTTAAAATATTCTGATCTACGCTTTTTTTTTAATAACCTGCATTGTTAATTTGGAATCTAAGTATGCTCTTCCATTTGTTTAATTGTTTTAAAGCTCCTATTCATTCAGCATTTTCAGTGACTACTGTGCACCATTTTATGTAATAGTCACAGGGATTAATAAGAAAACCAGTAAAATAATGAATACAATTATAGTACAGTTTGATGAGTGCTGAAATCGGCAGCTGCGTGTGTAACACACATGTACAAAGTTCCTGACTCTGCTTGGCATGGAGAGGGGACAGGAGAGACTTCACAGACGAGGTAACTCTTGAGTCGAGACCAGAAGTTTGAGTCAGTTCATCAGGCAGGCAAAACTAGATGGAAATGTGCAAAAATACGGTAGATCTTGAAAAGGATTTCAAGATTTAAAAGATCTGAAAAAATTAAACAGAATAAATGAATTTTACTTTTCTTACCACCTTTTTTATCATCTTTCCCTCCATTTTGTGATGAAATGTGCTACCCATTTTCTTAACTTCCCTTTCCTTTAATAATACTTTCCTATTTAAAATCCCAATTATTTTTCTGCAAAACAGGAACATCTGTTTCCTTTAACCCTGAGACTAAAATTTTATATCGGCGGCCAACAGATGCTAAGCATTAGGAGGAATGTGTAGGTAGGCTAAGCATTGGTAGACTAATGTTTGAAACACTCTTTAGTACATCTAAAAGACTTTACCACCTAAGATTATTTGTTTAAATTTTAGGATCTATAAACCCCAGGAACAAAGTTGTATGTATTATATATTGCGTACTTGTAAATGATTTTCATTTGTAAATGGTTTCACGTACAGATGTGTATAACACACCCACTTCTTTAATAATAGGCCTGGTTTTAAGTGCCTCTTAAAATCTTTTATTATGAAAAAATTCAAACTTACATAGGTAGAAAGAAGAATACAATGAAGCCTCATACACTCAACATTTCACCAACCCTGCACCTTCCACCACACACACACTCAATTATTTAGAAACCAATCCCAGACACCATATCATTTTAAGCATGTTTCTTTAACAAGACATTCAGGGAAGGAAAAAATAAACATTGCAAAATCATGAATTTAGATACTCCATTAGGGAGATGATAAACCTACTTTGCAAATTTATTTTCCAGGCACTTTACTACATAAATCCTTGGCTTAATATAGTAAATCTGCACATTATTCCCCAAACATGCAAATTCCTGATTCTGTGGGGATGTTTTACATGGTTTTGTCTCTTCCGGAGCCTGCTCTCTATCCTTTGCCCATCTATTTGTAATTAACTCTTTCAAGGATTGATTCAGTTCTCCTTTCTCCTTGAAGCTTTTCTTGGCTTTTCTTTATGAAAACAGCACTTTTCTTGTCAGCATGGCTCGGTGGTCACATATGGTAGTGAGTTTCTATTTAGTTTTTTAAATACATATGTCTGTACACCTTAATACGATTATAACTGCTGTATGCCTCAGTTGTCTGATGTATAAAATAAGGTTATTAATAACATCACATACAAGGATAAATAAGATAATCCAAAACAAGGACTCGGTGAATGTCAATTATTGTTGTCATTGGCTTTTGTAAAGTCCTGGATACAAGGAATCATGCTTTGTACTTTTTTAATCCCATATCTAAGCCTCATATCCCAGCATAGATACTAAATACACATTTAGTTACGTTGGCTGCAAGGAAATCTGTGCTTTATATTTCATGAGCTTATTATCAAATACTGTCTTCATCAGCATTTTCATATACATGTTCAAAATATGAACTTCGAAAGGTAAATGTTGTAAGATACTGTGTTTCCTATCTAGAATTCATCATGAGTTCGTTCTTTAAATCTTACAAGTTACAAAATGTGTATCACTTGCCTTCACATATACAAAATTAAAATCCAACTCAATTAAAAACCAAGCGTATTAAACTTTACCCTTGCTTTATCAATGAAGAAATGATTTCCGTATAAAAACAACTGTTAAAATAATACAAAAGATTTTTGCTTATCTTTTTCAGACCACAAAACTAACACTTAGAAAATTTAAGAAATTCAAAAAATGAGAATTAGGTTAAAAACCTTCCACAGATAATCGCTGGATTCTCCCCTCTTCTTTCCTTAAAGGTTTACATAGCTAAAGATATTATTGCGAAGAAAAAAGAAAGCATGCTGCATTTCCTACCACTTAGCATTTTTTGTCCTTCAGGATATTGGTAAATAGCATGTACAGTTTTAAAAAATGTTTTGAATAGCTTATATACTAAAAATGTGTGTATAAAAGGTTTTAAAAATATAACAATATTTGAATAGGGTTAGGTCTTTTTTTAGAATTCTCCTGGCTGTTTTTATTTTTTCATGTGATCTTTAAAATCAGTTGTCTATTTCAATTTCAAAATAACCTTTTGGTATTAGCTTTATTTTAAATTTACAGGTTAGCTTTACGATTTTGCCTTCCAATATAAGAACCTAGTATACCACATGATCTATGTTCTTCCGTATGTTTTAAGGTTTCGTCAGTTTTGTTCTTTGACGCTAGTGTTCCACATCATGTTAAGCTTATTCCGAGATAGTTTGTTATTTAATGAAGTCTTTTTCCATTATGTCTTTTTAACTCGTTGATAATATAATCATGAAGGCTGTTATTTAAATATTTTAATTATGTACCTAGCCACCTTATTTAATTTCCTTATGGTCTATAGTTATTTTTCACTAGATTCTTTTGAATTTATTATATACACAGTTGTACTTCTGCACTTTTTATTTATTCAGCCATTTCTTATTGAGCTCCTATTGTGTGTCAGGTAGATAGTCAGGTGCTGGAGATCAATAAGACAATGCCCCTCTTCAAGGATGAGTATTATAATAATGTGTAACAGCTTGCTATGGGTACAGAAAGAAGAGTTCTTTATGAAATAGGAGAGGGGAGACAAATGAGTTCATGGAGGCTTCCTTGAAAAAATAATGCTTGATCTGAAATTTAAATAGAGCAAATCCACCTTCATTTTACTTGGACCGGAAACCTATGATTTCATGTGATTCCTTTGTTAAATTTCTTGAATAACTTCTAAAGAATCAGCAATGAATGAGCAAGTGCTTTTTCTTTCACCAAAACCGAATAACCTAGTATGAGTCAGTGCATGGGACATGATTGCTTAAATTTAAAACATTCTTATCCTAAAAGAATTTCAGAATTGAAAGAAACTTTAGCCAACATTTAATCTATCTCCTCACTCTCCACCCAGTTTTACATATGTGAAACAAAGACTTCGAGGCTAATAGGTCATAGCCAGCTTCTAGCAGAGCTTATAGAGACCCTATGTCCTGCTTGTGGTCTGGGTCTTTAGAACATTTATATTAATTACTTTGGTGAGCTCTTTGGATTCATAACATTTTTGGTAGTGTTTTTAAAGTTGTTGAGTTTAGAATTTTTGTTACTATTTCTCCATTCCTTAGCCCAAAGAATGAAAAAGTGAGCTCTCAATCCCTCATTACTGTATTGAGGTTATAAGTATTCTCAGGCAGGTCATTGTTTGTCTTTTTGAAGAGAAAGTATGATTCTTTATATGGACTTGTCTAGCATGTTTTACCTATGCAATTTTTCTTTTAATATTAATTTTTCTTTTTTTCTTTTTAGTCTGCCATTTTCAATTTTCAGAGTCTGTTGACTGTAATCTTGCTGCTTATATGTACCTGTGCTTATATCCGGTCCTTGGCACCCAGCGTCCTGGACAGAAATAAAACTGGGTATGTTACTTTTTATATTTAACTTAGTTTTGTAATAACTTTTTGTATTTTTCCTCCATTTTAAAAATCTAAACACTTTATATTCACAGAATCTTATTAAATATAAAGATAAATATTGAAGTTTATTATACTGAAGAAATGTATATTTTAAAATATGCAACATATTTTTTTCTGGGAATAAGAAAATATAACAATTAGTAAAGTTGGTTATCACATTTTGAAACCATTAAACAGTTTGTAAGCAGTGTGTCCATACAAATAATAACATAAACATTACCTCTCTTATCCAAGACTGCTGTAATCATATGAACTCCCTGTCTGTTTTCATAAGTTAACCATCTTTGAAGAACTTTATTTAACTTACCTAATCAGTAGTAAAAATTAAGTCTTGGGCACATCACATCCCCATTTAATTACTAGGTTCATACCCAGAAAAAAATTTGAGCTTAATGTCATAACGCAGAGAATTAAATTTTAAAATGCCCTGTTCATAATACAGAAATACTTGTTGAATTTTACCAAAAGGAAGAGGATATAAAAAAAAGAAAGAGCTCCTGTGGTAAAAAGTATGTTTCCTTTGTGTTATATATCTATAAATTTCTGTGATTAATTGTCTTAATCCTTTCTTGGTTGGAGCCTATACCTCCCCTAATAATATTAAGAAATAAAAAGATGAAATAATAAAATATTTCACAGAGGAATAATTATCTCCAGCACCTTTTTTGTTTTTAATGGGAAGAGAAAGGCCAAATTAGAATCCTGCAAGGTCAAACACTTCCACTAATAAAAGCTCCTACAAGAGGCCAGGTGGCAGATACTCAGCTATGAGAATAATAATTTCTGCTCTCTTTCCTTCAGTTTTGTTCTATCTTTGGAGTCATAATTAATATTTACTCAACCCATTATCAAAATCATTTGGCTTTTTTTTTTTTTTTTTTTTTAACTCTTCCTTTCTATTTCCTAGGGTCATTTGAATATCTAAAAGAATAAGTGGAGCTCTAACCAGTTTTGAAAATTGAAAATCAGTAATCCTGTTCTAATACATTGATAATCTGTCTCTGTTGGTCTGAAGGATTTTATTTACTAAAGTTGAAAGCAGATGCTACTTGTCTATCAGTTTTTATAACAGTGTTCCACACCCTTCGTAGACACTGTCTTCTTGTCATTCCACCTTTTTTTCCTGAACTCCTGTGGCACTTAGTCATTAGCTCTCAATTTAATATTTTGTTTGTTGAAATCACTTAATGGTATTTGTTTCTGACTTATGTGTGAAGTCTTTTTATCCAACCAGTTTTATTTCTTCCTTTCCTTCCTCTGCAACCCAAATTATTACCTTACAGTTAAAGCAATGGTAGAAACCAGAAAACATTCTCATTGATCAATTGCTTTATATTCTAATATAATACATAACATCTGTCTAATAAGATACTTTTAAGTGTTTCTTTCATTAAAGAATACTCACATAGCAGTGCCATAAAATATTTGTACTCTATTGATGCTGTTATGAAGAAAGTAGATTGCATGTGGAAATATGTCTGCTTCTTATTCCTTTGGGAGCAGGAATACATCCATAACATGCTACATTAAAAAAGGGAGTTCTCAGGGCTACCAACCTTACAGTAGAGGTTGAGTAGTAGTATATTTCTCCTACATAAAAGCCCAAAGAAATAGCGTGCCTATTTTTACACTTTAAAGTATATGTTGATACAGTCAACTATTTGAAAGCTTTTGTTAAAAAAAAAACAAAAACACTTTCTGTTTGTATAAATATTAAGCACCATTTTATTTTGATTTGTATGTAAGAAATATTTTCTACAGGAAAAAGTTTATAAGCCATTGTGTTTTTTTCTACAATACATATGAGATTCATCATAAACTTTATAGTGAGTACTCCATGCTTAAGCGAGTTCTTGATGACTTCAGTGTTGAAAATAACAAGTTAATTTTTTGCTGCTTCACATAATACAGAAATAAAAAACAGCAGAAGAAAGGTTGCTACTTTGTCTTGTTTCCTGTTTTCATAGACCTAATAGCTTTATCATCAGATACGCTTATTGGCTTATAGCCATGGAAACTAAGCAGCATACACTTATGGGTTTTTACGAACTATTAAAATTCCCATGTTTTAATAAATAATATTTGGAATATTACAGAAGTATGTCTAACTGATGTAAAAAAAAAGGTCAAAATGGTACTGGTACATCTCTCAGTGGCCAAAGTGGGAAAATTTTTTTTAATTTAAATAGCCTTTAATATGCTAACTTTGTTGTTCCCACTTCCTCATGATCCTTAATAGATTAGTAAAACTGAAAAGACCTTGACTTTGACCTTACATTTTCAGACTGTGTTCTGTGGGACTTCAGGCTTCACTCCAGGTGTCCTGTCTCTGAGTCCCTCAACCAGAGTAGCTTTAAATCAGTAGTGCTTATTATAATCAGTAGATTTTTAGATTCAAGGAACCGTGGCATTGCAAATCACCAACCAGTTGTCTTCCATTTTTTTGATGAAATGGAAGCCAAGTTTAAGTAGTATCTGGAGCTACCGTCACATGTGCCTTTAGTCTGTGTGTGTGTGACTGAACACAGCACATGTTAGTCACTATTCTAAAGACTTTCTGTTTAATATCAATAACTCATTTAATCCTTTAACAACCCTATTGAATGCTATTAAAGAGATAAAAAACGTTGCTCACAGTTACGCAACCAATTAAATAGCATTGAATTTAGGCACAGTCTGGTCGTTATATATATAATCTCTCACTTCCTAGACTTTTCCTTTAGCCGGAAACAGTCCATTAAATGTGTATGGATAGAAAAAACATTTTCAGAAAAAATCATTACTTTCAAGAGTATACATATATGGTTTCTCCTTTTATTGTTACAGTAAAATTGTTTCACCTGTCAGAATGTCCATATTTCAAAATAACTTGTAATTTTACCCATTTCATTTAATCTGAAGTAGGAGACGTTTTGTTTTGAGGTCAGGAAGTTACACTTCAGAGGAGGAATCTATATAGAACTTAATTGAACCAGAATTTCTTTTAGTCTTAATCATACTAATATAATGATAAATTAGCCAGCCATCTCTTTGGGCAAAACGAGTGTAATATAAATTCCCCTGGATTTTAGGTATTGATTTTGTTACACCAATTTTAACTTGCTACAATTAGTAATGTTAATTTATCTTGATTTGTATCCATGCATAACACCGTTTATTATTCTATTCTTCTGTCAAACCAACAAAATAGTTCTCTACAGTGTTTTTATTTTTTCTGATCTTTATTCATTGAATGACTCAATGGGCATCTTCATCTTAGTCCTTTTTATTTCCAGAATGTGTTTTAAATGCCATATTTAATTAACTCATATACTGTGTTCCTAAACTATGGTTTTTTACTTATTTTGAAAACATAAGCACATATTTTTGTATTCTTACCGAATAACATTTAGTAGATGCTGTCACTGGAGTGTGTAGTTATAGATTATTTAAATATAGAGCTACATTTTTAAAAGTCAGAATAGTAAGTTCTTGTGCAAATTTTTGCCACATGCATTAATTTACCTTAGGTTTAATCTGTGACACCACATACATTCCACTTAGTAACAGTTTACATACATTGATGTTTTTGATAAGTTATCCTACATAAGTGGCTCGACACTGGACAAATTTCAGTTTTGAAGCAAAGCATCAAAAGTTTAAAATGCTAGTATAATGAATCATCTCTGTGATGATTTACCTTTTCCAGCAATCAATAGTTACTTTTTTCTTTTTTATTCTGTGCAGATTGTTGGGTATATTTTGGAAATGTGCCAGAATTGGTAAGTGTTTCTGTATAATTTTCATCATTTCTTCAGCTGTAAATTGTTGGCCGATTTGCTTATGTCCTGTTCAGCCACATCGAATGTCAGTTTTTAAAGTGCTGCATGTGTCCTAATTTTCTTCAGTTGTTCAAAAATTTGTAAAGTTCTACCAAATTCTTTTCCTTATGCTATGTAAAGCTAGAGTTGGTAGATACTTCATGATACTTATTAGCAGGGAGATGGAAAATATAAGAAAAGAGTCTCTTGAAATTCAGATATCAAATACCATGCATTCCTAGTTTTGAGAAGATTTCAAGACAAGTGTGTAGTTTTATGCTCATATGCTTATTATAGAGCACATGTTTTTCTGTATATTTACCATTTTGATAAATGAGGATGAATTTCCCATCAATGAAACGCATGCTGAGCAAGTGTCTTAACATAATAATTTTATTACTTTATGCTAAGTTGTAGAATGTTATGTGTTAATAAGAAAATAGTAACTTTTGTCTTTAAATTCATGTGGTCATAGCTGAGCTTTATTCTGATTAAAGTTAACGTAAATGTGGTTATCTTTTAACTTTTCTTAGTAATGTTAGTAGTATCTTCAATGCATTTATGTTTAGATAATAATACACTTTTGTCTCATTTCCTTATGTATATAACATTTAGCACATGCCCAGCAGCATATAGTAAACTCTCAAAAGACTGGCAATGAATGAATTAAAATGTATTGCTGTAATTCACTAGTACTTTTGAATAATAGATTATGTACCCTTTTTAACATGCCTTATTCCAAAACTACTTCAGGGCATTTTTACTGTTTCTTGTCCTCTTTGGAATAATTTTTTTAAGTCCCCTCCAAAAAAAATTTTTTTTTATATGCTTCCTCTAATGCTGGATTTATACAGAACTTATTTTTTTCTTTTATAAGGTGTCAGGCTTTCATAATGAAGGAAATAATCTAGTTAACCAGTCTGACAACTGCCTGAATTTCCTAATTTCTTTAAATAGGATAGAGAATTTAAGAATCATCTCCTTTAGATAAACTGTGTTCCCTTTACAGTATTATGTTTTATTTTGATTGTCACTTCTCAGAGAGGTGGAAAATTTAGAAGTCAATCCATAATAGGAAACAAAATTAATTAAGATTAAAAGTACAAACTAAACTATTATAATATTTATAATTTTTTCTAAAGACCTGAGAATTGATATATCTAAAGCTAATTTATAGGCGTAACTTAGTGTCAGCTAAAGATTAATTATAAGTTTCAAATTCTTTAAAGCATCTTCTAAGATTCATGTTGATAACATGGGAATAATTTTGAGAAAGCAACTTTTCTTCCCTTGAGCCTTTAATGATAGGCATGACCTACTCACAGTGGAAGTTGTAAGTATAATACTAAATTATTTAGAAGTCCATTTTAAATCTGTTATGATGAGATTATATGATTCCTTGGCCTTTTGGGTTTCTTCCTGTAGAAAATGATAGGATATGCACAAAGAGCTTTACAGAAAAATACCCCTTTCAGGACCCTCATTCTAATACATTGATTATTGAAACAAACATCTTTCAGAGAATACAGTGTGCTTTTAACATGTTAATCTGTTCTCCCTCAGGGTTCTTTGTCATACTTTATTGTCTCTTCCAGTGATAGGCAGGAAATTTTTTTTTTAGTAAGCAATATTATTGACCTTTGATTGGTAAAGCACAGACAGCCTAGACAAGTGGCTGTCGGTCAGGAAACATTTGACAATGTCTGGAGATGTTTTTGATTGTCACGAGCTGGGGTATATATACTAGCTATAGGTCAGAGTTGTTGCTTAACCTCCTATAGTGCACAGAGCAGTCCCTTCCAACAGAATTACCCCAAAATGTCAATACTGCTAAAGTTGAGAGTACCCGATCGAGATTTACAGAATTCTGTGATGCATACTTATCTGGCATTCAGTCATGCTCAACAGCTGCAAGCCCTGAAATAACAAGAAATCTTAAGCACTTCAGAAATAACCAAAAGAAAGAGATAAAGAAGCAAAATAGTACCCTCCATGGCTAATACTGATAGCTAACAGTAAATGTAAATATGTATAAACCAAATTGTTTGCTTCAGAGCCAAGTCACCCAGAAAAGGGAATAATGTTGCCAAGGAACAATGTAGTAAGTATATCTCAAGTAAACCTCAAAGAGAAAAAACATAGTGGAAGAGCAAGGCAATTTGAAGGAACAGAAAGAATATCACTGTATTAGAGTAATTCTAAATACTCATTGGTAAAAATACAAAAAGTGTGGAGATAGAAAGCAGAGCTTTCATCTCAGTGTTATCATTAAGTTGCTAATTCAGAAATAAAATATTAAGGTATTTTAAATCCATTTTATATTAAAATAAGAGAAATACAGCTTCATTCATTAGCCAACCCAGGTGACTCTTTTGTTCATAATTTTAAAAGTATCGCTAAATATTTAAGACACCTAGCTTGTAGCTTTCTTAATGCTTTCCTATAATCTTACCTATTTTTGTGTCTAATTATATACCACCTTTTCTTTTTTGCTTGCTTATTTATTTTTATTTTTCTCTCGACTCTATGAATATCATACGTTAAATAGTCCAGTTAAAGTGTTCATTCTTGCCAATTATATAAAAACATTAGCTTTTCATTTTGGCAAAGTGACTTAGAAAATGTTGATGCTGATATGCTGCTTTCTCAAACACATGCTCCTCTTATCTTGACACAAAATATATCCACAAAGAAAGGATGCAGTTTTAATGGGAAAAGGCCCGGCCAGATCATCTTATGTTACACATCACATTACAGCAACTGTTTCACATTCACTTATACAGGACCAAGACCAGACAAGAAGTAACATTCTTACCCAAGTTCAACTAAAGATGTTTAACTCTACCACATGGCAGTCTCTTTTAAGAAAATTAAAAACAGGAAAATGAAACCCATATGTAAATTATAACATTCTAAGTTGGAAAATGAGGAAGAGAACTTCCACAAAAATTAATTTCCAGCAGATGGAAAATTTAGGACAACATTAATTTCTCTTTCAAGGTGTTTAATAAGACTATTGGACAATGAGAGTTTCTATCCTCAATAAGAGTGACAGGCTTACCTATGAAATCTACCTGAAATTTATGTCAGAATAAATTTTTTTTACATTTTGTTAAATAACTTGCGTGTTTTATTTTTACCAAGAGAATTAGCATTGCTTAAAAATGATAACCCAAGGAGATTTTTCGTTTTAAATATTTTATTTTCTAGTTGAGATAGTGGTATTGTGGAAATACTAATCTCTCACTTTCTAGATTTTTCCTTTTTTGCTGGAAGCAGCCTATTAAATGTTTATGGATAAAAAAACACTTTCAGAAAAAACACCAAATGTTTTGTTTGTACATGTGAGATATCTTTAATGAGTATTGTCATTAAACACGCAAAGATATGTGCTCAGTAATAATATGGCCGAGTGAGCTCAGTTGAGGATATTAGTTGGTAAGCGTGGTCAAATTTGATGTTTTTCAGCGGTAGTTAACTAACCTTGCTAAGTGAAATAAGGAGCTTAGATACTGGAAAAGAGCTGGTTTTAAACATCGTAGAAAAACACAAGTGAGGGGTATATAAACAGTATCTACTAGAGGTACCACAACATACCCACAATTATTTCTAGAAGTAGGATGTCACGCTTTACCCTTATGTGTCCTCAAAGCAGAACATAAATGTGCTTTGTGGATTGTACAGCCTTGCAAATAAGATGATTTTGAGTTAACATACAATCACAAGATCTCTCTGCATGAGCATGTCACAAGCCAACTCCAGGTCTATGTCATGCAAAGGAAAGTCTCCCACGTATAATCACTCCTTAAACACATGTGAAAATAGACTCATACTGAAGTGGTTTTCTAAGTTCTACATTTCTGACCTGGAATAATCAGACTATAAAATAAAAATTTGACATAAATTCCATCTTAGAATTTTTTTCCCTAATATGTTTTTGTTAAGCATTTTATGCCTTTCTTACGGTATAGTTTTATTGATCACCATCTGTTTATTTTTCTGTTTATATTTGTTTTTCCCTTTGAAAGTATCAGGAATTGCTACTGATGAGGAAAAGAAACATGCTTAAAACTTGTATGCCGAATTTTTTTATGGATGGACATTTCCCTTTTTATGGGAAATATTAAACAAGAGTTGTTTGTCCTTGATTGAGTTTGAGATCCTTTCTCTTGGATCTGTATCCTCCGTTCTGTACTGTATTTTTTAATATCTGGGTGTATACGGCAGCACAGGAATGGCGCACTGAGGATTTTCTAAACAACTGAAAAGGAGGTGGGCTTAGTAATAAATTGATATAATTTAGTGTATCCTGTGTTGTATTTGCTTTCATGTTGCATCTGATTCTTTTGCCCACCTCCCAAATATATGGGCCTCATAAACAACAACTTTATCTTTCTAATGTACCCTTCTCTTGTAGTAAATAATTATCAAATCATATCTATGTTAGCTACTCATTTAACCAACTTGAGTATCTCCCTTGTTTTCCATAGGTGAACGGAAGAGTCCCTACGTTGCAGTATGCTGTATAGTGATGGCCTTCAGCATCCTCTTCATGCAGTAGCTCGGACAAATACCTAAATTTAATTCCCAACAGATTTCAATATAAAAAGGGGACTTATCTGCAGAAAATAATGGAAAGAATGGTTAACTTTATCTCTCAACATTGAATGAGATAAATTTCCAGCTGCTGTTTGCTGTTTTGTTATTGGACCAATGTTCTATAAAATTAGGGTGTAACCATTTAGTTCTCAAAGAGTTTGTAACAATCAATCTCAGTACTGTCACTACAATATTTACATTCTGCAATTGTCATTTTGTTGTGTCCAATACCAACTTTTTGGTGAGGTATCTCTGAAGCACATGGTAGAAAAAACTGGTGAATTATTCAAATTCCTTTCACTGTGATTTGGAAGTGATACATCTTTACAGAATGAGATCATATATTGGACTAGTTTTTTCTATTGGGAAGAAAGTTTCAATTTTTGTTGATAAAAATTACATTCATATTTAATTGTACTTGCTTTACCTCTGGCCACACCATTTTGAGCATTAACCAGAGTACCTCTACAAGACATACTCTGTAGTTTATTACAAGTTTTCAAACTGTTTAAAACAAGCCTGTGCAATGCTAAGGAGGAAGATAAATGAGATATTACTTGAATGGTATTGGGGAAGTGTTCCTATCTAACATAAAAGGGTTTAAAATAGCCGACTGGTATAGTAGCCTCCGCAACCTCTCTGGTTAAGTATGGAAAAATGTCTTAAGCATAAATTTGACCAGCTATCTATCATTCTCTAAATAAAACTACATTCTTAAAATGAAAAGAGCAAAACAGAACGATTACAAAATAATAATCCTATGTGTTTTTTCATATTTTAATTATCTTAAAATGCAAACTGTATTTTTGTTGTTTTTTAATACAGCACTTTGAATCTAGTTTATGTTTTGTCTGTCAACTTGAACTGGAATCTCCTATGTAACTTAGTAAGTGATGATTGATAGTTTTTAAATCTATTGATCTATGTATTATAGCATAAGTGTCTTTGAGCTTTGATAATAAAGAAGGACCTTCAGTGATTTTCATCAAGGCAAGAGGAACGTTGGGAATGTGACACACATTTCACTGTAGAGCAGTTATTATAAGTCTATGGTTCCCATTTTTTAAGATTCAACTGAAATTAAGTGAAAATTTCAAAGTGAAGAAGAACTTAAATATCAGCTAAAAAATGCTCTTTTACTGGGTCCGAAAGAAGTAACACCTGCTTGAGTATAGTTGGTAGGGTAATAATTTGAGTGTAATAATTTATAGTTTTAATTTGAACATTTCACCTAAAATGTTATATGGTGTGCTTGAATGTGATATTGTTATGTTACAGAATTACATGCTTATGATTTTGTAATTAAAAACTGGGGAGTTATTTGTGCCAGACCCTGTATATAGTATTAATTAGATGTTGTTCTCAGCTGTTAATTCCCTATAAGATAAAAAAGCGGGAGGTGGGGGGACCAACTAAAGAAAAGAGAATTATTTTAAAAAGTCTGCAGGTAGCTCTTCCTGCAGAAGTAAGGTATAGAACTAAAAGCCACCTATTTTTAAAAACTAAACTACTTGGAAGAAATTATAGGAAACACTTAAGAAAGCTTGGTATGCATTGCCTCAGTTTTGTGTTTTTGTTTTTTGTTTTGTTTCAAAAGATAAAAGCTCTTACAAGCTGTCCATATAATTACATTTTTGGCTTATCTAAAGCTGATTAAAAGTGGTATATTTTGCTTTACACAGGGAATCAGGCTATGATAATATTTCCTACTCTGAACTGTCCCTTGGCCTTCATGTTAGGTCAAGGGACAACCCCCAAATAATACTCTCTTATCAGCATATACGTGATATCCCCCAAATAATACTCTCTCATCAGCATATATGTCCAGCAGGTAAGGCACCTTTCTGGGTCTGGTTTCTTAGTGGCCATCTGTTGTCTAGCTCTGTTGCCAACTAGACTTTCCAAAAGCTATGACAACTTTTTATATGCTACATGAACCTGATATTTTTTTTAAAATGAATATTCTAAATAATTCTAAGACAATATGGCATTTTGGAGGTTGTAGGTGGAAGATGGAAGATGAAATAATTTCTTCGGAAAATTTGTGGTAATATATAAACGTTTGTATTCTATAGATTCTGGACAGAGTGGGAGGCAGCTTATTTCTGACCTCAGCCTTTCTGACCATTTGAAACACAGGTTCTTTGGGAGGTTGGAGAAAGATAGGATTCTATGACTAAAAGGAATTAGCATTTTCTTTATTGTTTTCAAGGAGCTACCACTGAATCCTGTCCTAGAACCCAAAGGGCAGTGTAGATAGCTTTAAGGCCACGGAATATTCAGATATTTCCTTTGTGGTCTTGGTGCGGTGGTAGAATGCAGAAGAGGATTAAGGATCAGTTTAAGCATCAGCGGAATGGGCTGTGTCAGAGTCTTGAGCTGAATGGGATAACGGGCACTGAAGTCCACAGATCCCTATGCTTAAATACTCTGCCTAACCTTCCTGGCTCTAGAATCCTTTGATTCCATCTCTCCTGGAATTTTTTTCTGTGCCGATACGCAGTCCTCAGTTGGCCTCATCTGTGCCAATGGCAGGAACATTTCCTCCTACGCAGTCTGAAAAATTGGTCGGTCAAAAGGGCACATAATGTGTTGAATTCCCTCTGTGGCTTGAAAGAGTTTAGAATGAAGTCAAATGTCTTCTTAATGCCTGTGCTGCTGTCCCAGGTACTATCCTGAATGTTCTTACATGTTCAACTTCAAAGTAGTCCTTTCATGCTAGGGATAATAGTAATATGTCATTTATAATAGACACTTCCATCTTAGTAATATGCAGAACAGTCTAGTTTTATCATAGGACAAAATAGAAGTTTGAAGTAACTTCAAGTTTACAAAGTCAAAAATGAACACATCTTTACCTAGTTTTGTGAAAAGACCTAGGACTTGTAAGTAGAACATATTTCAATATTCTTTCAAGAGGGATTTATAGAGTGCATATTGATACCACTGAAGATAAGTACAAAATTTCTCCCCTCTATTAGTTATAAAGTAGTTGTTGAGAGAGGACGTTATTTATACAAAGTGCTATGTGATAGTGTTTACTATTGAGATAATGCCAGGATTTTTGAAGAAAATGAAAGGGGTGACAACTCAGGGATATGAAGTCTCCAAAGAAGCAATGCTGAAGCTGAATTTAAGAGCAATGTGAAAAACACCAGTGATACATTATAGACTGTAAGTACCCAGCTTATGCCACTTAGGAATTAGTAAGACGAGCCTAGAAACATGAGCAGAGGTTACAACCTAGAGCATCTGTATCTTACTATCTATTACCTACCTCAAAATTTAAGTTGCATGTGTGTTCCCTTCTGCCTGACCAAAAAACACACAAAAAAAGTGTCCTCAAGAAAAAATAATCCTTCCTCAGTGTATGTGGTAACAAAGTTGAGTGTATCTATGCTAACCCTAATTTGGCCCAGGAATACAATAGTATGCTCTCCAGAGATTCACCTGCTAAGAGAGCTAAAGTAACCAGTAAAGTAATTTTAGGAACTCTTATTAGTCACTCATATTCTATCAATTGCAAAAGCAGCCATGATTGTTGAAGCACCAATAGCACAAGGAACAAACATGGTTGTATTGTCTACATTTCCTGGGTGTACAGGAAAGATTTCCAATAAGCAAGGACTTGATGCTCTTCTCAAAGCCTTTGAAAAGTTACTGCACCATAGGAAGCTAAAAACAAGAATGGAAGATTCTTAGGAACCACTCTTTGGTATCCAGTAGATGTTCAGAATATAAGTAGCTAAGTAAAAATACTCAATGTTGTATTAAAATATTGAGATACCTTAGGAGCTTAACTCATATCAATTAGCCTATCCTGAAATAGGTTTTATTGTACATTGTTTCATTGAAAGTCACAGAACCTATTGACGTTAAGTGAGAACTGTTACAGCGTTGTGAATACTGCATAGCCTGTTCTCAATTAGAAAGTCACACTAGCTTCCAAAAATAGTTTGATAATTACGTCGTTTATATACCACCTTCCATGGTTTCTTTTACTTTGACCTAAATTATCTGAAATGCCACTCCACAATCAGAAAAAGGTGTGGGGGGCAGGGGGGATATATATTTCCTGTCATTTTAAGAATACAGAGAATCCTGGTTAATCCACATGCCTGTGGTGTACAATAAAAGTCAAAACGAACTCTCAAGAGCCTCTTAGTTTTCATTGTCAGGTGAATGAAAGCAGTTTTTATAAAAAAAAAATTGAAATTGTCGTCTTCTGATGCAGATGGGAAGAGAAATGTTTCTATTTTACTGTCAATTAATGGTCAGTCAAGATTAGTTTTAGGGCATTTGCATATTTTTGGTGGTGGTTCTGCAACTTAGAACTGTTCAGTCTATTGCTTTTTCTTGGAGTGAACCTGTAAGAGTCTTAAGTGACTTATTCTCTATTATTTTTAACCTTGTCCTCAACTGAAGGCCTTTAGATGCCAAAACACTAGTAAGTAGCGAACTAACTTTCTATACAAAATCTCTGAGCAGTGTCCATCAGAGTCAGTACATTCAGCCAATAATACCACTTAGAAATATGGAAAGACTTGTGTGTACTATATGCCTTGCTTTGGGTATCTTCCACGTGCTAAATTAACAGGCAAACCTTTGTTAGACCTGTTACTAAACAAATTCTACATAACCAAATGAATTGCAAGAACTATACAAGGGTGGACAAAAGGATTTACAGTTGTTTCCATGGGAAATAATACAGTAATAAATAATACAAGAATAAACTTTCTCGCCCTGGCCATGTGGCCCAGGTGGTTGGAGCATTGTCCCGCAGACTGAATGGTCACAGGTTTGATTTTGGTCAGGGCACATTTCCAGGATGCAGGTTCGATCCCCAGTCATGGTGCATACAAAAAAGCCAATTGATCTCTCTCTCTCTCTACTCCCCCCCCCCCCCCCGCCCTTTCTCAAAACAATGGAAAAAAATGTCCTGGGGTGAGGATTAAAAAAAAAACTTTCTCATAATTGTAAACTCACTTTTGTTTGTAGTTGAGTTTTGAACTCAAAATAATTTAAGATATGAATAGAAAAACGCTCAGTTGTTTCCTTTGATGTGTATTATAAATCCTTCGCTGTTTCATTTTATTACCAGTTGATATGAGGCTTTATATAGAAAGTCACTGAATTTCTGATTGCTAACTACTCAAAAGAATTCAAAATGGCTTTGCTTGAGACCATCAAATTTGACATAGAAAAGTAAAATCAATCTGCTTTCAATTCAGAAGATTTGCATCACTATCCTTAACCATAACAAGTTTGTCTGGGGGTGAGGGGATAGAAATTGGAAATAAGGGTAGTCACTAAACACACTTTGTGCAGTATGAGAACACTCAGGAACTGCAAAATACCCAGACACCACTAGTGATCAAGTTTGCTTTAGCAAAGGAAGTGGCCTATGAGCAAATGTGTAGTGATTGAGGATTTGTGCCCAAATTTTCAAAAAATGTATAATTTATGAGCCACTTTAACATTTATGATCAAGTACTATGTCTAAGCTAAAGGTTGGAAAAAAATGTACAGAGGTACTAAACTAAATTAAAATGTTTACAGCTTGAAGGATTTCAAGAAGGCTAGCATCAAAAAAGGCACATACGCAGTACTGAAGCATTAAAGACATTATCTGTAGGCTCCAAGTAACACCATAAGATTTGACCTTGGAAATTAAAAGTTAGGAAGTTAGAATACTCTCAGTATTACTTTATTAGGGCTCCTGGAAAAGAAGATAATACTTTCTTTTTGGTTTCATTTAATAAAAATAAATATTCTTTGCTGCTTTTTACCTAATGTTTTGTATTCACAACTGGAATCTCTCTTAATTCTTGGAAAATGAGAGTACTTGGGCTTACATGTTTAAGAAATTTACAATAAGAAAATAGCTGTAAAACACAAAATATCAGGTAATACAGTTGGATGAGTGTTTTGAAAATTTAGTTCTATGAATAAACTAAGCCTCATTCAGATTTCTGTTAATGAGTTACTGTTCTTAGCTCTAAATCAAAGCCCATCACGTAAAATAGCATCTGTACTCTGGCAACTCCAATATTAGTTGAGTTTTTATTAAGTATTATCAAGCATCTTTTCAAAGACATGTAGTAGAATCTGCTAACACTTAGAAATTGGACATAGGAAACTATTGAGATGGTTCCTGAATTATTAATTAGTTTGAGCTACCATGAAGAACAGAAATGGTGGTAGAAGTCAGGATAATTTTTGTGCTCAGAAATGTGAAATTAGTTCCTTGGCATTTCTGCTTCACAAGGTAGTTTTTCATATCCATTTCTATTCCTAGAAAAATGTGAGAACTGTGTGTCAGACAGTGCTTGAGTCAGGGTGTACAAGGAGAAGCAAGACTGGTAACAGCTGCTGTCGTAGAACCTGTATTCTAATGAAGTCCTACTAACCAAAAAGTTAGCTAGATAAGCATACCCGACCTCTGAAAATAACAGTATTATTTAAATTGAGCGGTCAGACAAGGCCAGTTGGAGATGGATAAGCTGACCTACAGACCAAAAGCATGAACTTAGAGGTAGAAAGAACAGCATATTCAAAGAGCTTGGGACTTGAAATGGTCACGAAATTTATAGGAGACTAGCATAAAGAATATTCTAAGTGAGACAAAGAATGGTGTAAAGTGGATAGAAAAACCAGCCAAATCATGCAGTGCTTTCAGCCAAAGAAAAGGCCAGCAGACTCATGCAAAAGATTCACAGGCACAACTGAAGCAGGTTTAATAATTTCTCTAAGGCTGTTTTCTATCTTTGTGTTGAGTATTAGACCTGAGACCCACAGGGAAGGGAAGACTAGAAGCTTCAGGATGTATTAAAACCCTGTATCAAATCTTAATGCTCTCATTTTGGTGCTCCGGATATCCTGAAGAAAAAGACCAGAGCTCTCACCTTGGAGGTAAACGTATACATCTGGCCCAGGAGTCTGAGACGCTGAAGGAGAAAAAAGAGTAGCTGTAGGCCCAGCAGTTGCCTCAGGGCTAAAAATGCAGCACATCTGTGACAACAGGTGTGAGCTGACAAAATGGCTGTTGCTTCACTTCCGCCCTCCAAATTTCACACAAGATTCTCCTGTAGCCCACTCTAACCAGATCTTATAGGGAAAGAAATTCTAGGAAATGTAGACATGACCAAGTTGACATGTTAGAAGGTCATCATGACCTCCAAGACCCTTCCACCTGGATTTCCTCCCAGCACCTCAAATTTAATCTATTCCAAACAAAATTCATCTTCTGTTCTAAACACGCCTCTTCTATGTTTCCCTATTTTTGTAAATGGTACAACTTTCCTACTGTGATCAAAATTTTCTAATCCCCTGCACTCAATCTCCTCTCTCATATGCCTCTCTTGCTCCCACCAATCTGCAACTTCATTTTACCATTTTTATTTTTGCAGTGCCTACCCCAGTTGTATGAGTTCAAACTCACCCGTGGGATTACACAATCCCACACGCTGATTTCATACTTAGTTTGATATAAGCCCCATTCTGGAACCCCAGGAATACAACAAGGGCATTCTCTCCTCCAAAGACACAGGGAGTGAGTTATGGTGGAGGAGCCAGCATGCTGTTATCATTATTTAAACCAAGAAAAACACACTGTAGACAAGATGAAAGATCTAATAAAAATGTGTTCTTATTCCTGATCCTAAAACTTTAACAGCTGGGCTTTCCCATGTGGAATAATGTTACATAAATAACTCAGCCAGGAAGTAGAGGGGCTGTGAAGTCCAACTAAATGATAGATGATCTTGAACACTCTGAATATCACACCCAATGGAGTTACCAAAAAATTAGGAAAAAAAAAAAAAATGGTCATTGGAAGGTATTGGTGAGCTGATGCTAGTATGATCAGCAAACTTTATAGTCTTTGAGTCATGTATTATAAATTCTACAAAAGTTTTCTATTTAAGCATATTAACATTCTAATCTATTCCACGGGGACTTTTTCTGCTCCATCCAAATTTGTCATATTTTAATGAGTCATGAAAATCTAGAGAAACTGGCTCTCAAAAAATAAACTTGTTGAGATTTTAAACTGAAATAACTCCATTGTTATATTTAATTTTCTCTTAAAGGAAACAAATATTACTGAGTACATCCTATTTAGTATTTCTGTCCACATAATTTAGGTGTAGTCCATGTTACATTTCCTATTCTCACTTCTTTCCTTCCTTCCTTCCTTCCTTCCTTCCTTCCTTCCTTCCTTCCTTCCTTCCTTCCTTCCTTCCTTCCCTCCTTCCTTCTTATGTTTCCTCTTGTCACTTCTTCCTTCCACAAAGTATACACATAGTTGCAGCTATGGCACAAATGCCAACAGCTCCATGAGAAAATAGAAGTGAGGACCAGAAAGCCTAAGAAAGGTAACTCAGCTCTCCTTACACACCCAGAGTGGTGACAGGGAGCTGCAATCTGCATCATAGATACAGAACTTTGGGGCAAGTCTCATCTGCCTCAGATCTGGGTTGGCCAAAGTGCTCTCAGAAAGTGAAGATTCACTTGTTTTTTCCAGACAGTTCCTTGGAAATCCCAGTGTGGTTGGAAAGTCTACCTTATTCCCAGGAATTCACCTTGCCAGAACTTATGTGAGAGCTCCTTACAGCCTTTGAAGAGTTATGGGAGACATTCTGTGACTACAACAGTGGTTCCTTCAGCAGGAAACATTCAGGGAGCATGTGCTTGTTACTCCTTTCTTTACCTAATCTTGAGATCCCCACCCCCCGCCCGTCTACGAACATCAGCAAGAATCAGCTC